ATTGAGTCAGAGGATTCCAAGTTAATTCTTGGTGGTCGTATGTTAGCTAAGTATAATAAGTGAATAATTAGTTATTTATAATTAATTTAAAATTTTTAATAATAATAATTTTTATACTATGGTCTAGACCCTTCAATTATTATTTTAAAAAATAAAAATTTAAAATGTACTTACAATATACACAATCCTACACTAAGGAAAGAATCCAGCATGCAGGATAGGTTTTTCAATCACATGATGATCAACAAGACCATCATCGCTACCAAAAATTATTCTCCTACTCTTCATATTAAAAACTCTTATAACAAATAAAAGATGTTGAATGTTAATGTTCAAAGAATAAAAAATTATTTTTTTTATGTATATATATGTTAATAAAATAATATTCATACTTCACTATGTTTCGATGTCATGTTGTTTAACGTTAAAAAAAGGTTGTATATAAAGAACTTACTCGCTGTAAAAGTGACACAAGAGTAAGTAGATTAGTTAGAATTAATGTTCGATAGGTCATTGACTTGTATCATTATTTAATATAAAAAAAAAATATCGTATGTAAATTATATACAAACTATATAGGTGACAAAAAAGTAAGTAGATTAGTTAGAATTAATATTTGATAGGGCATTTATTTGTATCATTATTTATTGTAAAAAAAAAAAAGTATATAAAAAACTTACCTCCTATATAGATGACAAAAAGTAAGTAGATTAGTTAGAATTAACATTCGATAGGGCATTGATTAGTACCATTATTTACTGTAAAAAAAAAAAGTCATATGTAAAGATCTTACTCACTGTAGAAGTGATACAAGAGTAAGTGAATTGATTAGAATTAATGCTCGATAGGTCATTGATTTGTATTATTATTTACTGTAAAAAAAATGTAGTATGTAAAGAACTTACTAACTATACAGGTGACAAAAAAGTAAGTTGATTAGTTAGAATTAATGTTTGATAGGGCATTGATTTATACCATTATTTACTGTAAAAAAAATGGTTTTGCTCATTTCACTGACTTCTTGAACTCCCAAGAGCAGACTATACTTATAAAAGGATAGATTAGTGAAGAAACAAAAATTCAGCAGATCAGCCCGAATTATGGGTCAGAATTAGAGATAGGCAATGTATAATTATGTAAATGATAGCTAAAGTTTAACTTTTACATATTGTATTAATTATTACATATTATTAAATAATTTTAGAAGTTATTAATTACAAATAAATTATATATATCAATTACAAATAAACTATAATAATAAGCTATATATATACAAAATTGTTTTTTTTTTGAGTTAAATAAAAGATTAATTATTTGAATGTTGATAATATATTTATATATAATATCAAATTGGCCTTTATCAGATTTGCAAATTCAACATTTATTTTGTGAACTTCTAGTTGGTTCTACTGGCCATCCATTAGACCCTTTTTGGCAAGCTTTTCATCTAGTTAAAACTGACAAAAAGCTTAAAGCCAAATACATATTTTGTAATCTGAATAATTGTAGCAGTAATAATCAAGTATCTATGCAATTGCTATTAGATACAAATAGATCAAACCAATTATTATTAGAAGGTATAATTAAAAGTGGTGCACCTCTTTCTCTTGTGGATTCACAAAAATTTAAGAAATTTGTCTACTTTATCAATAACTTGTATCATATTCCAGCAAGAAAAAACTTTCTCTAATATTCTTGATGTAGTTTATACAAATACTTAAACATCAATCAATCAATTTTTATATAAATCTACTTGGATTACTATTGCAACTGATGAATTAACTAACATTCGTCAAGACCATCTTGTAAATTTTATAACTATTGGTAAAGATTGATGGTTAGAACTTATTAAAATCATAGACATTTATAGAAAAAGTCAAACATCTTGATGTAGTTTATACAAATACTTAAACATCAATCAATCAATTTTTATATAAATCTACTTGGATTACTATTGCAACTGATGAATTAACTAACATTCGTCAAGACCATCTTGTAAATTTTATAACTATTGGTAAAGATTGATGGTTAGAACTTATTAAAATCATAGACATTTATAGAAAAAGTCAAACATCTCAAGTAATCTTTGAAAATTTGAAAAATGTTTTAATACAAGTTGGTCTTGAAAAAGTTAATACAATTATTACTAATGGTGCCACAAATTATATACATATGAAAATTATATCTACACAAGTATGTATTATATTAATATAATTATAATATTTTTTTATTTATACTAATTACAATTATTTTGAATTATATAGCAATATTCAAAAATTTTAACTATACTATATACTGCATATGAGTAAATCTTTTAGTTGGTAATATGTTAAAGCATTCTTATATAAAAACTACAATTAGTTCAGCTATGAAAATAATTTCATATATGCGAAAAAATATTCAAGTGATTCAGTATATTCGAATGTGTATTTCTAATAATACATTTCAATTTTTATTTCCAACTTTTATATGATAGAACTCTTTTTATATATCTTTACAGCAAGTTCAAAGTAAAGAATAATACTTAAAGGTTAGTTATATTGAGTTTAATAATTATAAATATAATTATATATTTATATTAATTTTTATTTTAATTTCTTTTAAAGATATGGTTTATAATTTAAACTTACAATCCAATGAGCCAATTGCATCACTTCTTAGAAATAATATATTTTGAGATCAGTTGAGAGTTGTTGTTTAAATATTGAAACCATATTCATTAATCCTAATTATATTAGAATCACAATATGCAATACTTGCAGATACAATATATTTGTGAGCTCAATTACAAGAAATTGTCGATATGATTGATGATAATAATTTTTAGCAATATGTAATTGCACGAATACAATATCAATAGAATCAAATATATAATCTACTTTTTATTATTTGCTGGTCTCTTCATCCTAAATATTTTCATATAAGAGCTATTAGACCAGAACATACAACAATTGTTAAAAAAAAAGCTAGCATTCTATTTGAATATCTATTTCCTAATAAAGATATAAAGAAGTTTAGAATACAGTTGATTGATTGGAACAATAAAGCATATCTATTCGACTTTGATGGTAATTGAAATGACTACTTAGTTGAAAATTCTGTATATTTCTAGAATAATTTTCAGAATAATGTGAATTGGCTATTTTTGCTGCACGAGTTATGTTGATACCACCTACTTTTGCTGAAAGTGAAAGATTCTGGTCATTTATTGTAAATATCTATTCACCACAGTGTAATAAGCTTACAAATGAACATGCAACAAAAATAACATGCATTTGATGGCATATTGCACAAGAAAGAAATAATTCGAATCATAATGTACAAAATAAAAAAAATAGACTTGATCAAATCATTCAAACTAATACAGCTAATTCTAATGAAGCAAATCTTGAAGATACTGTAACAAATATCGAATTTAATGATATAGAAAATAATAATTAGGAAGAACAATTTGAAGAAAATGTAATACAAACAATTGAAAACATTGATAGTTTTAATACTAATGACCAAATTATATATAATGAAGCCTAATTGAATCTTCTATTCAAGCTTCACATAGTATTCAAGGCAAAACTTTAGAGGATTGGCTAGTTTTAGAAAACCTTGATAATGTTTAATTATTAAATTAATTATTAATTGTATGCGATAAATTGAAATTTGCTGCTAAAAATTTAAATATATATATATTTTTTTTAAAAAAAAATAAATATTATATTTGAAGTCTTTTTTTTTATTTTAGCGTATTGATTTTACCATAATTTGTAAGAATATGTTAAAATATATAAAAATATGTAATAATAAATAAAATTTTGCCCATCTCTAGTCGGAATGCACCGATTAATTTTGCCAAAGATCACTAAAAATTTTACTAATGAAACCATAGCTAGGGATGTATTACATAAATTACTTTGTTACGTTTCATGTAAATTACATTATAACTTACGAAATTGTAATGTAACTTTACATTGAATAGTGCATTGTCACATGATAATTTTACCGACATTACAAAAGT